GTGAAGGACAGCGAAGCGGTAGCGAAGGGGGAGCAAGTGTAGAGCCTAGGCTAGACAAAGCAAATGGTCATACGCCTGACGCAGTAGGGGTATCTGTACAACACACATGTGCTATGCCTAAGCTAGAGAACACTGGGTAATAAGATCCGGACACACTAGAGGCGTCAGCATACAGAGAATGCAGGGCAGAATTAATCTGATCCATGTCTAAGTCAAAAACAGCCACAATGTGGCGCAACAGGCTGGGCCAGTCAGGGAGGTCTGGGGCTGGCGGAAGCGGCGATGGAAGAGGTCATCGAGGCGGCGGAAGCAGCGGGCGGTCGGGTGCGGACGGCGGCACACAGTGCCACGGAGGGGCCCGATCTGGAGCTGGTACTGGCAGCCCACAGCATTGAAGCCACGCTGCGAGGACCGCCACCGCGGCCACCACCTCCAAGGGCTCCTGGCCACCCCGGCGGGAGGCTGGCCCATGGCTGCTGCTGCGGCTGCTGCTGCAGCTGCTGCTGCTCCTGAACACCTGCCCCAGCCCCCTCGTCAGAACCACTGTCTCCGCCACCACCACCACCACCACCACCAGTACCACAACCACCACCACGCCCTCCCTTGGAGCCGCGACGGCCCTGACGTTGTCGCTGCTGCTGCGGGAAGGGTGCTGCTGCGGTCTCAGTGGTAGGAGCAACCATAGCAACTGCGGCGGAAACGTTATCGTACGTGCACTGGGAGGGAGCACAGCCCTGAAAGATAGGGACTGCCACAACACCGCTCGACTGAGCGATAGTGCGCTGGTGAGTCTCTATCTCAGAAAGGGCAGTGTCAAGGCGGTCAGGGTGAGGTCACCAGGGTGCTGGCTAAGGAAGTGGTCGCGGGCAATGGCTAAGCGGTCAGGCAGGCGCATGGCAATAAGGTACAGGGTAGCGCAGAACAGCAAGGGGAAGGCAGTGAGCTGGGCGGTAGTGCTAGCAGCGCGGTAGCTAGACTCTAGTGCATGGAGGTGAATAGCAAGGTCAGCGACAGTGGGGAAAGCAAAAAGATCGGGGAATAGCATGGGGAGGATCAAGCGGCCAGCGGAGGCAAAGGCGGGTGTGGAGTAGCACGCAACTACGGCATCTAGGAAATCCTTGGCGTTCTCGACAGCAGTGAAGCGCGGACGCTCAGACAGGGGAAGCGCATGACTAATGGCGCGCTGCGCTACAGCATCGTGAGATTCCCAAACAGCGCGAGCGAGCGCAGCAGCAGCAAAGGCCTCACTCTCAGCAGTGGTGGGGTCAGCCGGGAGGGGATCAGGCACGGAGGGAGTGCCCATCCTGGCGCTGACCTGCCAGGTGACGGAGGAGATCAACAAGACAGGCGGCGAAGGCGATCGCGTGTCCCTCCGCATCCAAGCGAAGCACAGCGTCCGCCATCGTGCAACCTCCGCAGCACAGCATCACGGCGGTACAGTTGCACAGGGACACAGCGGCACGGGGACACGACGGCACAGTGACTTGGTGGCAGGACTCTCCGTGGAGGAGACTCGGCGAGAGGCTGAGGAGGGCCCGAGGCGCGCACGGCCCGATGGAGTGCTGGAGCCTAGTGGCGCGGGAGGGCCAGTGGGCACTCGAGAAGCCAGCGGGCGCGCGAGGGACCGAGTCGCGCGAGGGGCCGGCGAGGCGGGCGAGAGGCTGGGCGGGTGCGGGAGGGACCGGCGCGTATAGAGGGGCCAGCGAGCATGCGAGGGGCCGGCTAGGCGCGAAGGGCCGGCGGTGCGCGAGAGGGGCCGGCTAGCGGGGGGGGGGGGGGGGGCGGGGGGCGCGTGCGGCCGGCTAGCGCGCGGGGCCAGCGGTGCGCGAGGGGCTGGCTAGGCGAGAGGGGGGCCGGCTAGGTGAGAGGAGCCGGCTAGGCACGAGGGGCTGGCTAGGCGAGAGGGGCCGGCTAGGCGCGAAGGACCGGCTAGGCGAGAGGGGCCGGCTAGGCGCGAGGGGCCGGCTCGGCGCTACGGGTTGGCTAGGCGCGTGAGGCCGGCACGGCGTGAGGGGTCGTCACGGCGCTCTAGGGGCCGGCTGGGCACGAGGGGCCGGTGGGGCGCTAAGGGTCCGGCACGGCGCGTAAGGGATGGCGGGCACGCTAGGGGCCGGCGAGGTGCGCTAGGGGCCGGCGGGCGCGCTTGGGGCCGGTGGGCGCGCTAGAGGCCGGCGGGGCACTAGGCTAGGGCGAGGGGTGGAAGCGGGTGGGTGGGCCTAACCTACTATGAGACCATGTTAGAATACGAGAATGACTAGAAACAAGAGAGAACAAGGGAGATATAGGGTTGGAATTGTACCCTCTAAGAACATACACCTATCTAGCCTATCAAATAAGTTGACACAGCAGTGCCAGGTGTCCTTGACCAATCTCGTATGAGTGATGTGAACAGAGTCACGACCATTGCTGACGTGATCAAGGTGGTTCAACTGCAAGATGGACGGTCGAGATCCTCTCGACACTTGTCTTTCGATTTCGTTTTGCCACTTTATTGATTTTCTACCCGTCTTTGTGCTACGAATGGCAGCTGACGCGATTTTCATACTGCTCGCTTTTTGCAGCTGAGCTGACCTTGGTTATGAAGGACCAAATACTGATTGAAGGCAAGAAAAACGAGCAGGGTGTTATGTAAAATGCAAACCCAGAAAAGCAGGTACTCTAAAAAAATCGCCACATTGAGAAAGCTTGCTTTCTTGTCCTTCGCAATAGGCATCGTTGTCATTTCAAGTGGGCTAGGTACAACAGGCTCTTACTAGCTTATAAGAATCTAAACATACATACATGATTATCTTAGTTGTGCGCTCCCGTTCAAGTGACCGACTGGCAATTGGAGATGCACGGTTGTCTACGGGGGGTGGGTGGGAAAGTTGACTGAGCCGTTTGAAAAATGAGGGATGTGGGTGGAGGTAAATGAGCTCCAACCCAAGTATTTGTAGTTGGAGAAGGGCGAGTAGCACGCTTCGACGATGCCCAAAGCTTCAGTACAATCAGCTTCGCTTTCACAATACACAATTTTTGAAAAACACTGCGTGTGCTAAAAAATATAATATTGAGAAGCTTGCTTTCTTGTCCTTTGCAATAGGCATCGTTCTCATTTCAAGTGGGGTCGTCGAGACATGTGCAGTGGGGGCTTGCGGTGGCGGAGAAGTGCTTTGGTGTATTGTGTGGAGGAGGGTGCCACCGCCGGGTCTTGCAGGCGACGAGATGCGCCAACAAGATGATCGGTCGCGGGCGTGACGTACATCTCTTTCGCAATTTCACTGCGCCAACGGCCCAGGCGTTTGAAGATCCTGTCAGGTACCCCAGAGTTGGCAGAAATCGTGGCCGCGCCTTTTCGAAAGGAGTGGGTGCCTAGGTGCTCTTCGCCTTGCACCAGTTGCGGATTGTGGTGTATGAGGGCGGTCTGGCTGTGCCGTGGTTCGGTAGGTGGGGTCCGAAGACTCGGATGAGCAGTCCTGGGGACTGGGGGCTATATACTGCGAGTTGGATGAGCCTCTGGGTGCCTTGGACCAGACAAAAGGGTCCGGGGCTTGCCGCGATAGGGATCCATGTGCCTTGGCCGGCTTGGTCGGTTTTTGAGTGGGGGGTGAGTAGCCACATCGCGTCATCTTTAAATTGGATGTCCTGCCATTCGATGGCCACCAAGTCCGAGTAGCGCAAAAATCTGGCGTACATGAGAATTGGGATCAGTCCTTTTTGGAACACGGCTGGGTTGTTTGACTGTAGGAAGGAGGCCGCCATATCGTGGAGTTGATGGAGTGAGACTGGCTCTTTGAGCTTGTTTGGACGCGGGCAGTGTCGCTTCGCGAAATTGCGCACTTGGGAGGTGAAAGGGCCGGTGGTTGGGCATGTTGAGCCTGTCATCCTATGGGCAAAGCTCACGACAGTGCATGTGAGCTGAACCACCGACAAGGAGGCCTTGCCTTGGATGGCATACACCAGGTAGAGCGCGAGGGTCATGTCCGATGCTGGCAAGAACGTCAGGTTGACCTTCGTGCAGAAGGCGCGGAACTTCACCCAGTAAGGCTCGTATGTTCGGATGGTCGAGTCGGCACGAGAGCGGGCGAGCATGGAGAGCAGGTCGTGTTGGAGCTTTGGAAGCAGATCTGGGGACATGCAGAGGAGTCTAGTTAGTCAAATATCACATGGAGTGCGACGAAAGTGCTGCTAGGTAATCCTATGCCTAAGAATGCTTAACTGTGGGTGCCGACTGCAAGAAACTGGCTGCCGTGTGTAAGAAGGATATGTGCTTGGATGTGTGGGTCCCACGATGGAGGGGAGGGCTGGAGGAGCGGCCACCAGCTTGCGCCAGGCCAGTGTGGGACGATGAGGGTGAGAGATGCGCTCGTGCGTTGTGCGTGATGGAGTACTGCGGGGATGAGTTGGGGTAGTGGGAATGCAAAGCTGTTCTCGGCCGTCCAGGCAAGCGAGAAGGCGTCGGCTGTTGTGGCATCGAGGTGGGGGACCTTATAGCAAAAACGCGGCAAGTGTGCATTTTGGGGGTTGGCGAATAGGTCGATGGAGTGGGGCCCCCAGCGACGCTCGAGGAGGCGGAACCATGGGAGCTTCAACGAGTAGTCATCGTGGTCGACTAGCTTGGAGAGCTCGTCTGCGCGACCATTCAGCTCGTGTGGGATCCATTCGATGATTAGACGAATCCCGAACTCCATGCATGTTTGGATGATGCCTTTGCATGTGGTGGTGAGGTCGGGACTTCGGGAACCTCCTTTGCGAAGGATGAAGAACACGCCCTGGTTGTCCACCCGCACTAGCACGTGTTTGTTCCGGATTCTAGGCGCGTACGTTGTTATAATCACAATAGGCTTAGATGTGCCTATAATGAGAGATAGAGAGCACAGTCGGATTTCTGTCAGACGGCTTCAAATACTGATAACGATCTGGTCACTGAATCAAACGGTGATGTGTAAATTGGATCTGGAGCGTGTTGCTGTCGTCTATCAGCAGCAAGTTGAATCATGAAATTCCATGAAGATTTGACGACGCTATGGCGGTTTGACTGGCAGGAGGTATAGCAGCCACAATAGTCTTAGGAGTACAAACTTAGCAAGAAGAGTTCGAGAGGGAGATGGTTCCCAGCCTCTACATACCCCAAGAGCCGAGGTCCAGGTTGGTGGTACACCACCACAGGGTCCCCAACCATGAAGAGTCTCGAAACCAACCCTCCAAGGGGCTACACCAAGTGAAATGTAACACTACACGAAGTAACGTTACTATTTTCACTATTTAATATTTATCCGCGTCCCTTGGGCTTGAAATCTTGAGCTCTTGTTCCTGGATCTGCAAGATAAATTCTTCTTGAGTTGATGGGGGCTTGCTGCACACACCTGCGACACGATCGACACTTCACACTCGACAAAATAGAAAAAACACATGCGACACACAAACGACGACTTGACATGCGAGTTGTAAAAACTTGCTAATGTCTTGACCGACACAAACCACATTGTGATACACCATTCAAACACACACACAAGCACTGGATAGCAATGACATAGACTCACAATTCATTCCATGCCATGCATGCACACACACAAACAAGGACGACAAGCCGAGTGCAAGCCATAGGGTTGCACCAACAAACTCCCCCTCGGATTGTTGGCCTTAGAATCTGCTCCCCTTAGTTCAGAGCCATCCCAGCAAGCTTGCAACACTTCCAATGCTGCTGCTCAACCAGCCTCTTGGTCATCATATCAGCTGGCTGCGCCGTCGTCTTCACGTAGTGCAACTCCACTTCACCCGCGGTTACCATGCTCCTCACCCAATGCCACTTCACCTTCATGTGCTTGGTAAGGCCATGAAGAACGGGGTTCTTAGCCAATGCAATAGCACCCTGGCTATCACAGTAGAGTGGGGTAGGTCCTTGCTGCTCCTCCCCCAATTCAGCTAGCAAACGCCGCTGCCACACAACCTCTCTTATGGCACGGAAGAGTGCCATGTACTCGGACTCCACCGAGCTCAATGCTTGGTCCACTTGCTTCTTGCTCTCCCAAGCTGTTGGCCCTCCACCAACACAGCAGATGAAGCCTCCCACACTTGTCATGTCCTCTGGTTCTGATGCCCAAGATGCATCAGAGAAGGCGGTGAGAAAAAGCCTCCCGGGTTCGACTCCATCCGCACCCTTTTGACGCCTTTGTGCCGCCGCGGAGTATTGCAGTCCAACAGTTGCTGTTTGGCCAAGGTACTTGGCCACTCTCTCTCCAGCTGCTACCTGCTCTTCATTAGGGCATTGGACAACCCTAGCCAGCTGCCCGGTAGCAAAGGCTGCATCCGGCCTTGTGTGAACGGCCGCATACATGAGGCTGCCCACCAAGGAGTGAAAACGGCGCCTCTCCTCTTCACCAACACTTTCCTCCGCTGGTCCTTTCACACACTTGAACCCTGAGGGAAGAGGAGTAGCCACATGACCTTCACTCTTCCCAAAGTTTGCAGCCAAGGCCTCCAAGTACTTCTTTTGATGCACTCGCATCCACCGCTTCTCCACATCTCGCTCAATGTGAAGCCCAAGGTAGTAGTTGACGTCACCAAGGGTCTTGCACTTGAACTTGTCTTGAAGCTTCAGCATCACCTCCTTCACAAGGTCAGAGGAGGGTGAGAATATAAGGATGTCATCCACATAAACCACCATGAAGCTCCTCTGCTCCCCCTCGCCAAGCATGAACAACGATTGATCGGCCGTTGAGGGAGTGAAGCCGATCGCCTCCAAAACTTCCCGCAGCTTGATGTACCATTGCCTAGGGGCTTGCTTGAGGCCATAGAGTGCTTTCTTCAGCTTCCACACTCTGCCACTCCCATCATTGTACCCCTCTGGCTGCTCCATGTAGGTTTCTTCCTCCAAAACGCCGTTGAGGAAGGCCGTTACGATATCCATTTGCTTCACCACCCATCCTTTGATGGCCGCCGCGGCGAAGAGGGTTCGAAGGGTTGTACCCTTCACCACAGGAGCATACACTTCATTGTAGTCCTTCTTCTCTTGCTGCTGATACCCCTTGGCTACAAGTCTGCTCTTGTAGCGCTCGATGTTGCCGTCGGCGTCGGTCTTGCGCTTGAAGAGCCACTTGGAAGAGATCGCCTTACGCCCCGGAGGTAGGTTCACCAAGTCAAGCGTGTCGTTCTCGATGATGCTCCCCATTTCTTCATCTGAGGCCTTCTTCCACTCCTTCCCATTGGGGCCCTCCCAAGCCTCCTTGGGATTTGTAGGCTCCCCCGGCATCTCCACCGGAGAGAAGAAGGCAAAGGCGCACTCCTCGCTTTCATCTTCCGCATCATCGCCTAGCATGAGAGCCGAACCGGTCAAGGTTGAGTTGGCTGGTCTTCCAAGCCGATCATAGCTCAACCTATTAGGGGGCTGAGTTCTCCTTCTCCCCCTTCCTTCCTCCTCTGCTGCAGGGACTTGAATGCTCTCATGGCATTGCGGTAAATCTGGTCGGTTCCCACGAGCACTTGTAGCACGAGGCGGAAGTGACGGTGCACGCTCATCACCTTGCTGCACCTCCTCCTCCTCTTCATCCCCATTCATTTGAGGAGATTGCCTCGTGACTGTGCTGCTGCTACTCAGCTCCAAGGGCAGCTCCACATGCTCCAAGCCGTTACTCTTCACCTCTCCAAGCCGCATACCAATCTTCGCTTGGTTCTCCGCCTTCCACTCCTTGTACGGTAAGTTCTCCATGAACTTGCAATCTCTGCTCACCAAGAACTTCTTGGTAAATGGGTCCCAAAGAAGCCATCCCTTGCTGTTTTGAGCCATGCCCAGGTGCACGGCCCATGTTGCCTTGGCATCAAGTTTGTTGTGCCGAAGTTTCTTAGGCACAAGTGCCATGCACATGCACCCGAACACCCGAAGCATATCCACCTTCGGCTTCCTTCCAATCCACTCCACATAGGGCACCCATTTGTCTTCTCCCACATGAGTCAAGGCTCTGTTCTTGGCCACACAAGCATGCCGCACCGCATCCGGCCAAAAGTAATTGGGAAGACCGGCTTCAATGAGAAGTCCCCGAGCCGTCTCCGTGAGTGTCCGATTCGCACGCTCGGCGATGCCGTTCATTGCAGGAGAGTAGGGCATGGTAAGAGAGTGCCTTATGCCCTGCTTCTTCAGCCAAGTTGAGAAATCCTTGCTCAGGAACTCTCCCCCACGGTCAGTGCGAATCGCCTTCACAAGTCGGTCTTGTTGCCGCTCCACCATCGGCAACCAATCGGTCTTCACCGTTTCAGCTACGTCACTCTTCTTTGGCAGCACATACACCCAAGTCATGCGAGTGTAGACGTCCACAATGGTGAGGAAGTACGCAGCTCCAGCAGCTCCAAGCTTCAAGGGGCCCACCACATCCATCACCACCTCATCAAGTGGTGCCTTCGCCGTTGTCTCCGAGCTATGGAACGGGTAGCGGGTGAACTTGGCTTGCATGCATGTTGGACAGCCAAGCACCTCATTGGGCTCCCCCTTGACACGTATCCCACTGACCATCTCTTGCTTAACTATCTGCTGCAAAATGGGCAATGCCACATGCCCCATTCGCCGATGCAAGGTCAGCCAATCACACTCTCCCGTAGCGGAAGTCGGGTTGGAGAAAGCGGCACTCGCAATCGTGTCCCACAAGCTCTCTCCTTTCTCCTTCGCCGCTGCTGCTTTGCTGATCTTAGGTTTCCCCTCCTCATTTCCACCACCTTTGGCTGCTGCACTACTCTCCTTGGGTTCACACGCCTTGCTGGTCTCTCCAAGATTGCACTCCTTCGAGTCACTCTTGGTGTCACTTTGTTTTCCGTGATCACCGCCACCATCCGCTTCACTCTTGGTGCTGACGCTTGCTGCCACTTGCCTCTCCTTAGGCATGGGGACCACTGGGATTTGCCACATCTCATTGTAGATGTCCCTGTCCTCATGAAGGTCCCAAAGCTTCCGCTCACCAAGCCTCGCGGTATATGTTTTCGAACCCTTGGAAGATGTGTCCATGCCGGCCTTTTGCAAACGCCGAACGGAAATCAGGTTGGCTGCTAGGTTGGGCACCAAAAGCACGTTCTTGAGGCCCACCATCTTCCCATCAGCACCCTTGAACATGGCCTTGCCCATGCCTTTCACCTCTGCTCGCTGTCCCAAAGCCGATGTAACATGCTTGACCGGCGACGGTTCGAGTTCGGTGAGCAAGTCCGCACGAGGTGTCATGCTATAGGTGGCGCCGCTATCGATCACCCAAAAGTCCAGAGAGTGAAGGGTGACCTTTCCCACAGTAGCTGGCTCCTCAAAGCCTTCCACACCTCCTGCTGCAGCTGCCGCTTGCGTGGAGACAAAGAAGAATTGGCCCGGGTATCGATCTTCACTCGAGTCCTTGTCGTAGTCTCCACCTTTCATGCTTGCCGCTTCGCCTCCACGGCCACCACGGCCTCCACGACCTCTGCCTCTTCCTCCCCTTGCTCCTCTGCCCTCTTGGCCTTGAGAGGGGGTCCAGCCATCAGGTAGTTTGAAGCAATCTCTCCACATGTGGCCGGTCTTGTGGCAAAAGTGGCATTCGCCATCAAATCGACCGCGCCCACGCCCGTAGCCATTGTTGTTGCTGCCATATCCTCCATTACCACGGCCTCCATTGAAGTTGCTGCTGCCAAATCTGCCTCCTCGCCCTCTGCCCCTTCCACGGCCGTGCCCACGGCCCATGCTTGCAACTCCGGCACCATCGGGACCCGCCAATTCGCGACGGCGGAAATCTTCTTGTAAGATTTCCCGCTTCACATCTTCGAGTGAGAGACGGGGCAGATCTCGATTAAGGTTGATGATGAGCGAGGACCATGAGTCCGGAAGTAAGGCTAGCAGCTTGGTCTTCTTTTGAAGGTCACTGTAGTTCAGGTCAGCTCCTTCGAGCCGTGTCAACAAGTCGAAGAATTTCTGCACTCCTTCCTCCACCGGTTCGCCTTCGTCAATTCGAAGTGCCGCCATTTGCCGCTCCAAAACCACAGCCACCGCCGCTGTTGCAGGAGCGTGTACACCCTTGAGAGCAGCCCATGCCTTTGGTCCCTTTGCTGGTTCACGCTGAAAAGGCTTGATGTGACGGATTTGGCTGCTCCCCAACGCTTGCCCAAGTAGAAGGTAGCCTTGTGCGCTCTTCCGCACCCACGGGCTCTTCTCCGGGTCGTTCTCGGGGTGCTTCTCCGTTCCTTCCATCACCTCCAGCAGATCATAATGGTCAAAGATGTTCTCCATCTTGAAGGACCACTCAGCAAAGTTGTCACCGTTGAACTTGTCAAGGCCAAACACTCTAGGCTCATCCCTAGAGGGTCCAAGGCTAGGTTGCACCGGAGCAACGGGTGGATCTTGGTGTTGACCTTGTGCTTGGGCGTCTTCTCTGCCTCCAACACCTCTGCCACCCCCTTCCTCAGGCCTAGGCATGGTCGAGACAGCTCCAAGGGGCTCTGATACCACTTGTTATAATCACAATAGGCTTAGATGTGCCTATAATGAGAGATAGAGAGCACAGTCGGATTTCTGTCAGACGGCTTCAAATACTGATAACGATCTGGTCACTGAATCAAACGGTGATGTGTAAATTGGATCTGGAGCGTGTTGCTGTCGTCTATCAGCAGCAAGTTGAATCATGAAATTCCATGAAGATTTGACGACGCTATGGCGGTTTGACTGGCAGGAGGTATAGCAGCCACAATAGTCTTAGGAGTACAAACTTAGCAAGAAGAGTTCGAGAGGGAGATGGTTCCCAGCCTCTACATACCCCAAGAGCCGAGGTCCAGGTTGGTGGTACACCACCACAGGGTCCCCAACCATGAAGAGTCTCGAAACCAACCCTCCAAGGGGCTACACCAAGTGAAATGTAACACTACACGAAGTAACGTTACTATTTTCACTATTTAATATTTATCCGCGTCCCTTGGGCTTGAAATCTTGAGCTCTTGTTCCTGGATCTGCAAGATAAATTCTTCTTGAGTTGATGGGGGCTTGCTGCACACACCTGCGACACGATCGACACTTCACACTCGACAAAATAGAAAAAACACATGCGACACACAAACGACGACTTGACATGCGAGTTGTAAAAACTTGCTAATGTCTTGACCGACACAAACCACATTGTGATACACCATTCAAACACACACACAAGCACTGGATAGCAATGACATAGACTCACAATTCATTCCATGCCATGCATGCACACACACAAACAAGGACGACAAGCCGAGTGCAAGCCATAGGGTTGCACCAACATACGTCTGTAGCACCCAAAGCACGCCGGCGATCTCTCTTTGTGTGCTGGAGATTGGATGAAGGGCTTCGGGCATTGCCGCACTGGCCTCTGTCGTGGCTCCAAGGAATGTGTTCAGCGTGGCACCCCAGCTGTGGGCACTTGCGTCCACGTAGATGACTGCATCGTAGCTGTGCCGCACGTGGAACGGGGCACCGTTGAAACGGTCGAACTCTTGGATCCAGAATCTCAGCTCTTCGATGGCGGGTGGGGAGATGAGGACCATGCTGGTCCATGTCGGCGCGTCGTTGATTGTTTCTAGCATGGCGTGGCTGAACGCTCGGGTATCGGGGCCGAGTGAGATGGCCATCGATGCCAGCATGCCTGTAACTCGGGCCAGCTGCTGGACTGGGACTTTTCGCTGGGCTGAGCTTGCGCGCAGTAGGGCGTGGAGGGTGGCGTTGAGTGTGGCTCACCGCTCCTCACCGATGGAAAACCGGCCGGCCTGTGTGTCGAGTTCTACGCCAAGGAACCGAATGTGCTGTTTTGGTATCAGCTTGGACTTTTTTGAGTTGAGTACGAGCCATGCGGCCTTGAGATCGATAACGACCCGTTGGCACATAGCTTGAGCGTGTGCCTGGGTCGGGCACAGGAAGAGGATATCGTCCATGTAGGGTATCACGCGGACCCCCTACTCCCGCCATCGCAGAGCTAATTGCTTGATGAGCTGCGTAAAGATGAATGGTGCTGTGGCGAGGCCGAACGGCAAGGATCGGAAGGCATATGTGCGCCCGTCGAATTCAAAGCCAAGGAATGTCCAGCACGAGGGGTGGATGTCGACATGGTGATAGCCTGATTTCAAGTCGATGGAGAACATCCAATCTCCTTGGCGAGCGAGGTCCGCCACACGGTTGAGTCCCTCATATTTAAATTTGGGGACGATTAGTGCGTCGTTCACCTTTCTAAGATCCAGAATAAGGCGACACTTGTCTTTCTGCTGGACCACGTTGAGTGGGCTTATGCATCTCAGTTTT